CCCACTCTCCTCCTCCTCCATTAAGTCCTAGAAAAGACCCCCCGGGCCCGGCCCCCCGGACGGATTCAATGGATTTGTCAACTGCATTTCAGAATTTACAGGCTCAAACTGATACACTCTCTCGTCAATTCAGGTTAGTTCCATTTAACATGATAATTTAAAAAGAATTTGGTATTTCTTATTTATTTTCAATTGCGGTTTATCTGCAAAAGTGACTTGCTCACTTCTTGCTTAAAAGGAGCAATGGAGAAATTATCAGAATTTAACACTTTTCGAGACAGGAAGACGGAAGTATCTTCAACTTTTTATCAGATAAATGTTTCTAGGGTATAGTGCTGTGAATCGGGCATTGCCGTTTTTGCATGGCGGTTCACTTGATATTACGCATACAGTCCCTTTTAGTTGATTTTAGACTGGCAAACTTTACATGAGAACAAGCTCCAATGTCCATTTTTAAGGGACCTTGAGACAGATGTGAGGACTAACAGTAGAGATCTTGGAAACCTTCAGGAATCCTTGGTTAAAGTTGCTTCAGATAGAGATATGAAGGATATTATTAAAAGGTAAGATATCCTTGGTTAAAGTTGCTTCAGATAGAGATATGAAGGATATTATTTTAAGGTAAAATATCCTTGGTTAAGGTTGCTTCAGATAGAGATATGAAGGATATTATTAAAAGGTAAGATATCCTTGGTTAAAGTTGCTTCAGATAGAGATATGAAGGATATTATTTNTCATTGAAATATTTAATAAACATTAAACATAGTTTAATGGGTGCTAATCTATATCTAACACTTTGAGAGCATGTGATTAAAAAAATTAAAATATTAATAATAATAAACATAATACCAATAAAAGTAATAATTTTTCCTTGGGGCGCTACTTATTCAGTCAAAATTAAGTTATTTTTTTAGAATATGTAAAAATCAATATGCAGTAATAAATCCCCAACCCCTGGAAAAAAAGTTACCCGCCCCTGATCATATTTTTTACAAATTTTTACTTCTGGATTACTTTTCCCCAGAGATAAGAGAGTTACAGAGATCAGTATAAAATATGCGATATTTTCCACAGCATGTTCTATTGTGTACAAGTACTGTACACGACCAATCAGCAAACATCTGTATTCAGGGATATTTAAGGATCCTTCGGATACGAAACACAAAATCTTCAAAAAAAGACTGAATTAAAAAATGTTATGTTTCATGTTTGAAATTGGGGTATTCTTTAAAAGATGTAAAACTTAACCCCTGAATGGGTATTTTGTTCAACTAGTGGCCGTGAGATGGCACTCTATAAACAAATTGTGAAAGCGTAGCATGTCAACTTAGGCCTACGTAGCCCACCCTGTGAAAGGAGCAAACAGACTTCGCAAATGTGCTCTATATAGTATTATAGTTTTTAATTACATTTTTTGGGGGGCTCACTGGATAATAGATGGGCAACTTCAAAAAAGTGTACGATCAGGTTTTCAAATTTATTGAATTAGCTTAACATTTAAATATTTAAAAATGATAAAGAAAATATATGAAGTAGACTAAAAATGGTGTGCCCGGCGTTGTCAATAGAACTGCAAAAAAACATATAAAATTTTGAAAAAAATTGATTTTTTAGACTTTTTTACTCAAGGATACAGATGGGTTTCTTAAAAAAAAATGTCAATCAATTTGGTCCAGTCGTTTGGCCAGCTATAGTTAACTTAGACAATGATAAATATATGTATATGAGCGGAGAGCTTTTTCGTATATATAGATGAAATCTTATGTTTTTTGGCTTACACTAAATTTTGTCTGTCCAGGGTTAGTACTCAGACGAGCAGTATGCTGTCGGAGTTCAGGGACACCCAGAGGAACGTGGCCAAGTGTCTCTCGGAGGCTGAGCAAGCCAGGAAGGATTACATCATGTTTAAAGAGAAAACTGAGGCTATTCTCTTCCAATTACAGCAGGTTTGATTAAATTTCCAGCTACAGTAGGTTTAATTGCATTTTCCATGGTTACAGCAAGTTTAATTTCATTATCCAGATAAAGAAGATTTTTTTACATTTTCCAGTTACAATAAATTTATTTAAATTTTCTAGTTACAGTAGGTTTATTTTCATTTTCCAGCTACAGCAGGTTTAATTTTATTTCCAGTCACAGAAGGGTTAATTTCATATAACGGATACAGTAGGTTTACTTCCATTTTCCAGTTGCAGTAGGTTTAATTTCATTTTCCAGTTACAGCAGGTTTATTTGCATTTTCTAGGTACAGAAGGTTTATTTGCATTTTCTAAGTACAGCAGGTTTTTTGGCATTTTCCAGTTACAGTAAATTTACTTACATTTTCCAGTTACAGTAGGTTTAATTTTATTTCCAGCTACAGTAGGTTTAATTTCATTTTCCATTTACAGGTTTAAGTTCATTTTTCAGTTACAGTAGGTTTAATTAACTAATCCTTTGTGTTTAGAGTTTTCTGATGAATAGACTAACAAATCCTTTGTGTTTAGAGTTTACTGATGAACAGACTAACTCATCCTTTGTGTTAAGAGTTTACTGATTAACAGACTAACTAATCCTTTGTGTTTAGAGTTTACTGATTAACAGACTAACTAATCCTTTGTGTTTAGAGTTTACTGATGTAGAGTTTAATGATGAATGGAGTATCTAATCCATTATGTTTGGAGTTCACTGATGAATGGATTAACTAATTCATTATGTTTAGAGTTTACTGATGAATTGATTATCTAATCCATTATGTATAAAGTTTAATGATGAATGGAGTATCTAATCCATTATGTTTAGAGTTTACTGATGAATGGAGTGAATGGATTAAGGATTAGCTCCAGGTTGAGTTTGGAAAAGGGCTCGGCGAATATTGAATCCAATGAGGACAAAAACATATAAATAATTCCATTAAATACTCGTCTTTGATTAGCGCGGCATCATGAACAGATTTAAATAACAGTACTGTCGAAGGGGAACTGTTTTAACAGTAATTTAGAAGTCATCTTATTGGCTTAAATTGGTCAGATTAAAATAAACATAAATGTCGTCTTTCTATTTTAAAGTTTCATGGAAACCACTGTACTTGGAATAAAATAAGTATTTTCTGAATCTTTGATTTCTAAGAGAGGCTTTCACAGAATTTTAATCAATTCTTCAAACTATATGATTTTAAGTTTGCTTTATTAGTTTATTCATTGTGAAAAACTATTATTATTTTCTTTAATCATAAAATGTCCAACGAACGCAGTTTTTTTAATTAATTTTTTTTTTTTTTAATTATTGAAATATTGTAACTTATCGTACAATAATAATATTAACTATTTATAACACTGTTATTTTGGTTCGCCATAAAGTTTTTGAACAGAAATTTTCTCTTTATTGAGAAGGTTCAAGCCTTTTTTTCTAAAAAGGCGAGAACCTTCGAGATATAGAGAAAACTTAATAGCACGTCGTGCCAAAATAATAGTGTTATAGGTAATTTTATGAAACGTTTGTGTAATTGTCTTATTTCAATGGCTCTTTTAAATCAAATAAGCTTTGAAACAAAGCAGAAGTCAAAATATAAAGTTGATTTCAATTTTATTTTCATTTTAATTGAAACAAAATATTTTGGAAATATCCTTAACTTTTTGGAGTTTAAGAATGATAAAGTAAACAATAATTTCATAAATAAATTAATGCACAAAGTTATAATATACATGTATCTATAGAAGTAACGCTATCAATTAAAGTTAAAAAATTAAAGATTAGACTTCCTTCAAAGAGTATTTTGTGACTTTTTGTATGATATTCGTTCGATTTTAAATTAGTCTTTCTTTAACATTTTTTGTTAGGTTTAGTATTGATGATCAGAATCAGTGCTCAGAAATTTTAAATGATGTCTGTAAAGTCTCATTTTTTGTGGATAATCCATATTTACTTTGTGGATATTCCATATTTATTTTTACTTTAATTTACTTATCATATTTTTAAGCACGATATCTAAATATCTGAAAAAAATTCAATATTTAACCTTTTTCCTTCTCAAAAGGAATGAAATTACATTTGTTGCAAAGAAATATTGAACAACTTTTTTACAGACAAATGCTCAAGTTTTTTTTTTAAATACACTCTACGATATTGAAACTTTGCAAATATTTTAGCATATTTATTTTTAGCATATTTTAGATTTAGCAAATTGTACAAAAATTCTGATAATTTTATGTTTTACCTTAACCAAATATTGATTAATTCATATTGAGAACAAAATCTAACATGTACACCTATGAAAAAGAAATGAAAAAGCAAAAATTGGCTTGACTTGTAAGTTATATAGCTTTACGCTCAAATAGAAATGTTCAAAAAGCACGCTTCAGCTTCTCCTACGGTCAGATTTAGTGCTAGAACTTTCAAAACGTTTGTAAATTATCTTAAAGTCACCATTTCGATCAGCATATATCTTCATGGGTTTCTGAATGAAAGGCAAAAATAAAAATGATTTTTCCTATTTTTAGTCTAAAAAGACCATAATTTTAACAATTCTGGATCCATCATGAATGTAAGATAATTTATAGATGTTTTGAAGGCTCTATCTCTAAATCTGACCATAGGAGAAACTTAAATGGGCTTTTTGCATATATTTTTTTATGGGACCACGCCAATTGTTGCTTTTGCATTTATGTTTCTTGGATGTACACATTAGATTTAGTTCTAAATGTGAATTAATAAATATTTGGTCAAGGAAAAACATAAAATGATCAGATTTTTTGTTCAATTAGATATCTTTAAAAGACCTAATATTTGAGTAGTGTGGAATATGCTGAAGTTGCCTTCCAAAATGTCAAAGATTGATAATCACAATAAGTAATAAGACCCCACNATACTAGGCTAATAGGGCGCTTCGCGCCCATCTTCTATTTTAACTTTTAATTGTGGCTTTATCTATGAGCATCTTCTCTTGGTACAATATAAAAAAATAAAAAAAATTTGCGGATTTCATAATATTTTTTCGCGCATTTTCAAAATTTTACAAAAATAAAAAACTTTTGAACAGGAATTTTTAAATTTTTGATCACTCGTAAACCTACCCTGGGGTCACGTGAGGTCCCACACAAAATTTGGGCATGATCGGTCCAGCCGTTTTGACGTTTATTGGATACAATCAAGCAAACAGACACCCAAACAAACTAAATTTATGTATAGATGCTATAGTTGTAACTTGTAGTAATAAAAAGTTTAGTGTTGATCTTGTGTTTCCTTTTAATTTGCAAAACTTGGGGAAAGAAATAAATCTCAAAACTCTTCAGTAGTCAGATCTTTTATGTTGTGGTCAAATCTCGGGATCAAACATTGATTTCCATCTTATGCAGATCTACATACAGTTCATCTAATTCACCTTCGATATTCCGTTGTGGTCATACCCTGCAGGAATAACTTGAATTGAGGGATCAAACATTGATAACCATCTTATGCAGATCTACATATAGCTCATCTAGTTCACCTTAGATATTCCGTGGAGGTCATACCCTGCAGGGATAACTTGAATTGAGAGATCAAGCATTGATCTCCATCTTATGCAGATCTACATATAGTTCATCTAATTCACCTTAGATATTCCGTGGAGGTCATACCCTGCAGGGATAACTTTAATTGAGGGATCAAGCATTGATCTCCATCTTATGCAGATCTACATGCAGTTCATCTAATTCACCTTCGATATTCCGTGGAGGTCATACCCTGCAGGGATAACTTGAATTGAGGGATGACACATTGATCTCCATCTTATGCAGATCTACATATAGTTCATCTAATTCACCTTCGATATTCCGTTAAGTGGTCATACTCTGCAGGAATAACTTGAATTGAGGGATCAAACATTGATCTCCATCTTATGCAGATCTGCATATAGTTCATCTAATTCACCTTCGATATTCCGTTGTGGTCATACCCTGCAGGAATAACTTGAATTGAGGGATCAAGCATTGATCTCCATCTTATGCAGATCTACATATAGTTCATCTAATTCACCTTCGATATTCCGTGGAGGTCATACCCTGCAGGGATAACCTGAATTGAGGGATGAAACATTATTCATAAAAGTGCCCACAATGGATACCGAAATCAAGTGTTTCAGAATAAACGACTCCACACAAAGCTCCGCCCTCGGGACATTTTGCAAAGACTATGAACCTTAAACATAAACAAAGCCTTTTTGTTGGGTATCAATCACTGTTTATAAATTATTATTAATGTAATTATTGATTAACAAAACGTGGCATTTTATTGTGTTTGATGTGAGTTATATTGTAATACTGTAGTAAATGCCATACTCCATAAAGGTTTCTCGAACACGTATCTATCCACGTACAATTCAGTTTCACTTAGCAATCAGTGCCTAAACCCGGACACAATCTCGTCAGCTATCAATGTCAACCAGGACACAAGCTCTTAATTGATCAACGCCAATCCAATGGGCGATCAGCTATCAAAGTCTCTCCACGGACACAAGCACTTTATTGATCAATGTCAGACCAATCGGCACGATCAACTCTCAATGTCTACACTGACACTTTCACCTAATCGATCAATAGAAAATGGGCACGATCAACTATTAACTTTTCTAGGTATGTTCAAATGTATAACTATGTGATCAGGCAGTGTATTAATGACAATACAATCCGGTTAAGATACAATTTTGTCATAAATTGTTTGAATAATTTATTTGTATCTCCAATTTTAATAATAAATGGTTTACTTATTAGCTGTGAAAAATTAATTAAAAATCAAGCAAGTTTTAATCGTGTATTTAGGTGAACCTTTACGCAAAGCTAAATCATGCTTTTTTTACACAAGTTAAAAATCAAATCAAATATTAAAAATGATTTATTAATCAAATAATGCTAAACGTTACAATTATAATTACAATTATTGACTTAAGGGGATTAACGACGAAAAAAATATATGAACTAAATGTTAAGAGTGCCATCTATAATTCACAACGTTACCTTTCAAATCTTCGTCCAAGAAAATAAAGCTATTTGCAACTTGCAACAAATTTTTTTCAAATAACAAATTTTTCAAGTAACAAATTTTTCAGATAACAAATTTTGAGTTAATTTTTCTGTCATCGAATGTCTCCAATACTTGTAAATATTGACTTTTTGTTCAAACTCTACATTTGCAGATTTTTTTTACAAAAATGAATTGTAATAATTTTCAAAAAATACGAATAAAATACATGAATTATTCAGATTTAATTATTTCAAGCACTGGTATAAAAAGAAGATACGATCATATTTAAGCACACTGTTTTTTTATACTTTATCAAACACCTGCAATCATCAAAACTGGGAAAAACAATATTTTCCATGGGTTTCCCTTAAAAATATACAATTGGCCAATCTTATGATGTCAATTGTGCGAGTAAACCCATAAAAGGGGATTTAATGCTTGATTCAAAAGATATTACGACTGCATTAGAAGACTTAATAGTGAATATAGGTTGGACCTGAAAAAAAGTGCGTTTTGGCTATTTAGCCTACCAAACGTCGTTTGATTGTCCAAAAACGTGTCTCTCCATTGTAAAATGCCCCCAAAAGGGGGGGGGGGTCGTCGCTAAAACATTTTTCATCGACAACCTCCCTTTTATGTGCATTACACCTTCTAAGTACACATTACCTAATAATGACTAAAAAGCTAAACGCACTTTTTTCAGAGACACCCTGTATTTACGATTTTAAAGTTATAAAACAACATAAACAATGAAACATAACTAAAGTTTGACTTGAGTACAATAAAATATATAAAGGTTTAGACACCCTGTGTGTATTAAAAGAAATCACAAAATATTTGAGATTAATAGAAGCTGCAGTGAGGACCAGAAAACTATAGAATAGGAAGACGACTTTTAGACTCAAATTATGATTTTATATAGTCCAATGTACATCAGAGACAGCCATAGTACTGTTACACAAATTATTTCAGTTTATAAAAGATTTTTCAAGCTACTATTTGTTACTATTAGCTTTGTAACTATGTCAAAAACAGTAAATTATTTCTTTAATGTCGTCTACCATATACAGATTTCTGGTTCTCACCGTAATTTAATATTTTTGGCGTTTTACTTTCATCCCTTCACTGATGGAACACCATATCATTTTGTGTAATATAGATCTTACAAAAACATTATGAATTTGTAAACATTTAGATCGAAATTATTAACAGAATATTAGGTTTATCTCACAAAAACTAATAGCTCAGCCTACATTACAAATAAAATGTAAGGTATTCTCTTTTAATAGTGTAAATTGGGTTGATTAGAATTTGAAACAATAATCTAGTGATAACCAAAATATAGTGGACAACCATCAAATGGAATGATTTTCTACTGAAATTTTAAATTGCTGATAAATATTCTGTTTTGATAAAAACTGAAATTAATTTTGGAAAATGTTCTGAGGTCGCAAATTTTGTGTTGAAAAGCATCGTTAATTTTGAACTCTTGATCTTGATATCCACTGTGAAAACATTTAAATTTGAAAGATAAGTTCTTCTAGTTATCTCTGCCGGGTACAATCACCACGGGATATCCAAGAGATATTTAATTAAGCCGTAGTTCTACACAAGATTAAGCCGTAGTTCTACACAAGATTAAGCCGTAATTCTAAACAAGATTAAGCCGTAATTCTACACAAGATTAAGCCGTAGTTCTACATAAGATTAAGCCGTAGTTCTACACAAGATTAAGATCAATAGTTGACCCAGAGCTTCACAACACAAAAGTTTTGATCTCAAGGCACACAACAGAGCTTTGAAGGAATTGTGTCTTCACCAAAAATTTCTTTTCCCTTTGTCTTAGCAACCCAATGTCGTAGACCTTGATGTTTCAAACTATGAATCCTGTTATGTCAAATTATTTATTACGAAATATCAAATGTTTACACCATCAGGTTGGACACTTTTACGGATTAGAAAAATTTAAATTGACTCAATTCCTTACTAACGCTTTAGAGGCACTGTAATAAAAGAAAGAGCAAACAAAATCATCTTACTGTTTATCGTGTGTAATATGAGCACAATTCTGACAACCTTCTAATGACAAAATAATTTTCCAGGGGTGTATATTCTAATAATTAAGGGGGGGGGGTTCTGATTTTTGAAGATATGGTGAATAGATTAAAGGCAAGTTGTTTCATCCCTTTTCATACTTTTTGCATAATTTTTTTACTTCTTCTTAAAATCATTTATATTCCCCAATTCAGAAAATAACAACCTTAAAAAAATTCAGCTAAAACATTGATAACTTCTGTGGGAAAAATAATGATTTTCAAAAAGAGGGTGGGGAGTTTTTTTCAGGCAAATATACACCCCTGTATGCTTGAATGCCCAGCCCTACCCTAGCTGTATATCTGAGATGGCGAGGGAATTAAAGATTAAACAAGAGATTATCAAATATAGGAACTAAACCGGTTGCAATGGTCAAAAATATTCATGGTTGTTCATGCTCCTTCAGGATCTTATACATTCATGAAAATACTTTTTGAAAGAAGACCCCACTCTAATAGTTGCATAGTCCAAGCCAGTACAACATGTAACTGTATATACATTTAGTTGTACTTTCTAATCCTGACTAATTAGAGTCAACCCAGCACGTTTTATGGAAAAAATATATTCTGGCAAGATCAGAGTGAGATAAAAATCCGAAAAATAAATTAGAAGAAGAATTTTTATTAAATTTAAAAATTTATTAAAAGAGATTTTTCGAAAAAAAATGATTTTTTTTTAAGAATTATGGCTCATTAAAATTCTTCTTGTGAGGATCATGAATCATTTATAATTATATCTCTTTAAATTTAAAATTGTTAATTTTGTCAGAATGATCATTTTGAGAGAATTTTGTCCTGAGCTTCGGTATCATGAATTAAAGCAAATGTTTCTCTGGATCATAATTTATAATTATTATCTTAATTTCAAAAATCTTCAGTAAAAATAAAAATAAAAATTTAAAATAACTATGATCCATGATGATAAGAATAAGTTTAGAAAAACCACGAATTGCAATGTTAAAAATACAAAGATTAAAAAATTCAATACAAATATTTACAAATAGTTGTTATCTTTGTATGCTTTGTTTGGTGTGGAGTAGAGGGGTCCGGAGGGCTTTTCATAAAGAGAATCGTTCGAATGTGTTGGATCCTGAACAAGAACTTGTATAAAAATCCTTCGAAAATATTATTTAATAATTCTTTTTACACCATTTCTATTTTCTGTAACAATACAAACAGATTTTTTGATGAAAAATAGAAAAAAATTTGAATAATAAATGGAAGTCTAATTGACGAATTTCTGTTCCATTTTATGACAACAAATATATATGAACATTATTGAAAAAAAAACTAAAAGAATTTAAGAAAATCATATCTCTATAAAAATAATGTAATTAAAAATGGAGGATTTAAATAATTATTCTAAATGGTGAATTTAATACGATTATTTAAAATAGCGGATTTATTTCAGTCACTTAAAATGGTGGATAAATATACCTATTCAAGATGGCGGATTCATTTAAATCATTCAAAATGGCGGATTCATATCAACTATTCAACATGGTGGATTTAAAAAAAATACCTGACAGAAATGCACCTTCCCCTCTCTAGTTGCCCGCCCCTTTGATATTGGAGAGGGTAAGACAGACTGGGCGGAGCTAGTTCCATTGCCCGCCTTGAGTTTCGGAAATGTCTGGTTTCCAGAATCCTGAGCTCCGAAGGTGAATAGAGAGGGTTGGGTCAGCTGTTGGCTTGGTAGATTTAGGGCAACAGCGTCGCCCTAGAATTTAAATCAAATCAAATCAAATCAAATCAAATCAAATCAAATCAAATCAAATCAAATCAAATCAAATCATATCAAATCATATCAAATTAGATTAAATCAAACGAAATGTTATAAAATCAAGTAGTTTTCTGCAGAAATGGTATTAGAAAAAATCCTAATCCCGTCTCTTTGAAACAAAAGAATAGTTTTAAAATCAAATCATTTATTTTTTGCAGTAATTATATGAGCAACAAAAATATATGATCCCGTCAGGAATTATTTTCTGCGTTCTTTTTTTGTGAACCTCTTGTATTGAGCAAGTTTCATAACAGTCAAAATATGTTAATTCCTTAAACACTCAATAGATAGAAAAAATATTTTCTAGTTTTAAAAGAGAATATATTGAGAATAAAAACATGATAAAACACTTTCTAATTCTTAAATAATTCTTAAATATGACTGAAGTGCGCGCGTATAATGTGGATGATGGCCCCCTTTTTAATAAAATGTATTTCAAGCAATTTAAAACGATTTGATAGTCCAGGGGCGTACGAGGGCTTTTGTTTAGGGGGGGAGCATTGCATTGCATTGCATTGCATTGCATTGCATCTAAACAAGATACTTATGATTTCTCTTCAAACATTTGGTTATTTTTAATTTTTCTTTCTTTTTAGAGTGACTTGCGAATTTCTGATTTACACAACGGAGGAAATTGTCTGAATGTAACACTTTTCAAGCTGTCAAGATAAATCAAGAATATCTTCCACATTTTAAACCATGTGTAAAGGTTCAAAGGGTTCCTTCTCAAAGGAAGTGTAACTTAAAAATGCAACTGCAGTCCCTGAAAGATGTACCACAGTACCTGTATTTGGAGGATTAACATTTCTGCTTTCTGTTTCAAATTTAGATATTCTCTTTTTGCTCTATCTGCATCTTCTAGCGTCCTAACATTTTAACATAAAGTGAGACCCAGAAACTGTGGAATTCTTTTTTAAAAACTAAAAAACGCCGCGCCGTTAAGGGTTTTGAAATTTGCTAATTGCAACTGTCAACTGAACTATTTCTAAAATGTCTTTAACGTTTTTGGAGATATATCAGTTGTATTGTGACAAATGTAATTTACAAAATTACAATAATTCTTAGGAAAAAAAGAAGTAACGAGATGCATTTCACAGTTTTTTGGTACTCACTCTACAACATAAATTGTGTATACGTTAGTCACTTACAACGCTACATTTTAAAGATGTTCAGCTATGATAATAATAAATAAGTTTTCATTAAAACGTGTAAAATACCTTCAAAATAGTAAAAATATTTTTTTTAAATGGTCATGTCAAATTAGACTAAATGTTACATTTTGATTTTTTAATCAATAATTTTTTCAATCATAATTCCTCTGATTATTGAGTTATAAATAGAAAAAAAGTAAGTTCTTTTTAAAAAGCAGAACACCCGGATAACAACCATTTTAAACAGTGATGAAATAGGAAAACGATATTTAGACTCAAGTTATAACTTTAATTAGTCAAATAAGCATGGCCGAAGCAATTGTACAGGCTTAGTACACTTCGTTAGTGATTTAGTTTTTGCTATAGTAAAACTATTTTCCTTGTCACAACATCAAATTCACCTAATACTATAAAGTCGTCTTCCTATTTCAGAGTTTTTTGGTTATAACTGTATCATTGAAGATCACAAAAATTTGTAAAATTATTTGTAATCCTTATACTCGATCGATTATTAAAATACAGGGTGTCCCACGAAACATGACAGTTGGTGAATAGTTTTGAATGTCTTCTTCTATATATATATATATATATATATAAAGTGTATTAGATAGTTAAGATTTTTTGCCGTTTATTTTAATAAAAAATCTTTTATTCAAATTTACTATACTATGACATCAATTTTACTACAATATTATTGTCACATTATAGTTTTTCATGATTCTCTTTGGTCTCAAACAACTAAACAAATTATGAAAGAAGACATTTCAAACTATTCACCACCTGTCATCTTTCGTGGGACATCCTGTATCTGAATTAAACTATGCATTTAATTTTCAAATATTTATTTCTTTTCCGAAATTTTAAATTCCATTACAGTGAGACCTTTTAAAATGTAGAAAAGAAATACAACTGTTAGACTCAAGTTATTATTTGAAATAAGTAAATGAATGTGAAACACAGAAGCTGGCAACCGGTAAAATTATACATGATTGATAAAATGTCGTTTTCCTAATGCAATTTTTTGGGCATCACTGAATGTTTATAAAAAGGAAAATACCTGAGCACTCTATCATGTGTTGATCGTATTTCCTAAAAGACAATAATTTTTTATTTTTTATTTTAAATGGGCAGTCAATTTACTTTAAGGTTTCTTTCCAATAAAAAGAGTTTCATGCCATATTCACAATGGTACCATGTCACCTTTATCTGATATTCGTGAATCTTCTAGAGAAGTGTTAAAGTCTGACAATTTCTTTCCTTTACTTTGCTACAATGTGAATCCGGCGTGCAACTCTTTAGAATCTGAAAAGGTAATAAAAACCCACCATCATAAGTGAGCTTGACATCCTCTCTATGCCCGACATGTTCGCCTGGAACCTCATGATCTTCTCCTCAATCCCTCGCGCTGTAGAGTTCATCGTTGCCAGGGACTCGTGCACGCTCCCGACATCACGCCGGGTAGAGTTAGTTTCAGAATCAAGATGGCGGTACAGTCGTCTTCAATTTTAGAAATGTATTATATTTAAAAAAGCACTTTAAATAGACATTAAATCAATTCAAAATTGTGCAAATCTTGTAGTATTTCTAAGCTTGTTTTTTATAGTTGTTTTTTTAGGAATACTGAAAATTTCTGGAAAAAAAACATAAAAGTTTTTAATTAATTTAAAAATCATAATTTATGAACGTCAAATATGAAATACTAAAATAAGAAATTTTGTAACTAAAAACGAAATGTACATCTACTGCAGCTACAATTTATGAATGTAAATCTTTTCTCGAAAAGAAAATAATAAAAGTCGTCTTCCACAAGTTCATCGTTTTTGTGTCTGAAAGCTTCGTACCTAAGTTCATCAACCTGTCCTGTTAACAACATCATTTTCTTCTCCATATCACTACTACCAGCACTCATGTTGTTGTTGTTTGTTGTGGAATTGTTGTTTTTGTTGTTATAGCCTGATGTTGCTTTCTCTAATTCTACATCCTGAAAATTGATAATGTTATGACTAAAAGTTTGTATAAAGTAGATGAAAAACAAAAACTTGATAATGAATTAATAAATAGATGATGTGAGGAATAATTTATTAAATTAATTGATGACATAATAACACAAAAAAAAGTTTTAAAAAAATTAAATACTAAATAAAATCTTGAAAAATAAAAGAAGTAATTGCTAAATAAATGAGTTAATTGCTAAGTTGATAAAGAAATTGCTAAATAAATAAATTAATAGATAAATGAATAATTTAATTGCTAAATAAATAAATTAATAAGGAAATAAACGAATAGCGAAGTCAATGAATTAAATGAAAAATAATTAGATAAATTATTTATATTGTATGGAACCTGGTGAGAAGTTGTTATGGTGCTCATACTAATATTACTACTGCTTCCTTCCCGACTACAAAGCCTACAAAGTATTATAAATAAATTATAAACATTTTATTTTCTTCAGGTTTTTGTTTTTTAAACTGTTCATAATTTGCAGTCTCTCTGTAAAAGTGATTTCGAAATTATCATAATTATCATTTTCAACATTTTGATCAGATTAATGATAATCGGGCATTGGCATCTTTGCATTGCATTGTCATCATTGCATTGCATTGCATTGCATTGCATTGCATTGCATTGCATTGCATTGCATTGCATTTTATTGAGGGTCACTTGAAATTACACTTATAGTTCCTTTGAGATATTCAAAAGATTCTTGAAAAGAAGATTTTTATGAGAGACTGCCTTTTTAATTTCTGCAGGGCATAGTTTGTCATCAATTCTTATTTCTAATTAAAGATACAAATTCATTCATAATTTTGTCAACGGTTCCTTCAATCCTGCTACCTGGATCCCTGTCTTGAGGGTTGCGATTCTGAATCCTGGAATTTGAGATGTCGTCTTGATCCCTTCACACTATGGCAAGGACTCTCACGGAAAGAACTAGAAATTGAAATAAAAAACTTAAAAGTATTACAAGTTAAAACCACTAGTGTTTAGAAGTGAACAGTGTTCATAAACAAACCCCGATGGAGTTCTTTGAGTCCTGTGGTAAGCAGAAAACTGTGGGAACATTATCGTTTTCAATCTTTCCTCTTATTTTGTAAAACGTAAGTATAAGCAAAGAATAAAATTATTAAAATGTAAGGCCCCATCAATTATTTTTAGCCATCTTAAAGCCAAAATTGAATGGTAAAATCGGTTCAAATAGTCCTGAAAGGTATTGAAGACGTATTTTCAAGAGACTTTTCCTTTATCGAATTTAAAACAGTTTCCTTTAGACCTTGTATAATCAAGGACGAATGAAAAGCTTTTAAAGATAGATAAACTATGATATCTTCCAAAATATTGATAATATAGAGATTTAAACGGTTTGAATCGAGTTTGCCCCCGTTTTACCTGAAGGATGTACTTTTCTCAAGTTCATGTCCATTAGTTCGAATCTCATCCCCTCGTCTGACCGGAAGACTATGATACTGATCCTCATCACTTTCATCCTCTGCTAAACGTAAACTACCCGTGATAGGTCTATTCTCTTGTCCGTTATATCTATTATCTTGTGTGATATGTCTATTACTTTCATGATGTTTATTTTGTTCATTTCTCTGCTCGTTCAAATCCTCTTTACGCTTTGGCAAACTGTGAAACAGATCGTTATTTCTCGGTACATTCGTTAGTTTTGGTTCTTGACGCTTGGGAAGACTATTGAATTGATCGTCTTTGTATCTTTGTAGTGTTGGGGATAAAATGTCGTCGTTTTGTTTTGATAAGCTGAGCAATTGACCGCTAGGTCGTCTTCCTCCGAAGTTAATTGATCTTCTAGTCATGGCAGAGTACACAGAGCCTAAAATAATAAAAAAAAGTTAGTAAATATATATATTGATGGTTAAAATTTACCTGTTGATAGTTAATAAAAAAAACTTTTGAAACCTTTGCATTTGCATTGATTTTATATGATTTCTGCAAGATTCATAGTATGATTAAAACCTGTGTCCCTGATAGGGACTGGAGTTAAAAAGAGCGGATTTTTACACGAGTTTCTGTAAGGGTCTGGAGCTAAGAATGCAAGATTCAAACCTAAGTTCCTGGGAGAGACTGGAGCTAAACTTGAATGATTCAACCTAATTTCCTGAGAGGGACTGGAGCTAAGAATGAAATTTTCTAACCTAAGTTCCCCGGAGGGTCTGAACCTGAAAATAACTTATTCAGAGTCTTGAGCTGAGAAAGGATTGGTTCAAACCTGAGTTCCTGAGTGGGACTTTTAAGGACTGATTTAAACCTGTGTTTCGGAGAGGGACTGGAGCTGAGAAGGACTGGTTTAGGGACTCCTCTGAGGACGAATATGCATAGGTCCGATCCAAGGAGACATCACACACAGCTGGTCTTTCGTCCAGGGACTTGTTCAGACGATCTTTAGTGTTCGTTTCCCTGTTAATAAAAATAGGCATAATTTGTTGAATCGTCTCGTCTGAATATATCTGTTCAAATGAAAAGGATATCATCGCTTTTCTTATTTAAAAAGTGTTAAATTCTTACAATTTCCTTTATTGACATTTGTCTTTTGCAAGATTGATAATAAATAATAAAAAAGTAATCACCTGACTATCTCTGATTTATCTGATTTCTGACTAGGTAATGATGAGAGACTGGAGGATTTACACAATTTTTCCTGAAAATGTCGTCTTTTTAATTGATTTAAACATTTCGACTGGAGGATTTACACAATTTTTCCTGAAAATGTCGTCTTTTTTATTGATTCAAATATTACGACTGGAGGATTTACTTAATTTTTCCTGAAAATGTCGTCTTTTTAATTGATTTAAACATTCCGACTGGAGGATTTACACCATTTTTCCTGAAAATGTCGTCTTTTAAATTGATTCAAATATTACGACTGGAGGATTTACTCAATTTTTCCTGAAAATGTCGTCTTTTAAATTGATTCAAACATTTCGACTGGAGGATTTACACAATTTTTCCTGAAAATGTCGTCTTTTTAATTGATTTAAACATTTCGACTGGAAGATTTACACAATTTTTCCTGAAAATGTCGTATTTTTAATTAATTCAAACATTCCGACTGGAGGATTTGCACAATTTTTCCTGAAAATGTCGTATTTTTAATTGATTTAAACATTTCGACTGGAGGATTTACACAATTTTTCCTGAAAATGTCGTCTTTTTAATTAATTCAAACATTACGACTACAGAATTTAAACATATATTCCAAAAATAGTATCTTTGAATCTAAACATTTTGACTTTGAAGATTAACACCATATCATCTAAGAATGTCGTATTTTAGTTTAAATATTTTGACTGAAGAATTGTATTTTAATGCAAAATATATCTATTTAACATTTTTTCTAATCAGACATAAAATTGATAATGCATTTACAGAATATACATGTAAAAACAAATTTGATTAAATATGTTTAATTAAGTATAACAGTTTTTTTGTCCTATTAGATATTGATGAAATTTAATATAAGATCATATTTTTGTTATTTGAGACCCTAAAAAAACTTTTGTGTGGAAGACATGATGATATATTGCTGGTTTTTTCTCAATTCTTTATTATTTTTGAAACCAAAAGGATCTCTGCAAAGTTGAATTTTGACCGCCTTGACATTTAAAGTGACCCTCCCTGCGAAGAAGTCAATGCCAGATTCGAAACTGTACTCTATGTCTGATTATTATATCTGAATGTTTATAATTTTGGAAACGGATTATTTTCAATTGTGTTCTGGGGTTTCTCTACAAAATTGCATTTCTGAATCAGCAAAACATTTAGGAATTACCAGAAAAAAACACACAGATAGAATAACAGAAATATCTTTCATATTATTGATCAGATAATGATACCATTGTGAATCGGGCATTGACATCTTAACATGAGGGGTCACTGGAAATTACAATTATAGTTCCTTAAATGCATTTAAGCTTCCTTTACTTTCACACTCAATCAAAAATTTTTTTAGGGCGGTAAAAAAATAATATACTTTTGAGAAAAAAAACTAACCTCTGGTATATCTGGGACGGAATATCTGTTCCTATGAAGCTTGTCAAGTGCAGATTTAAGTGCTGAAACCCAGTCACGCATTTCTCCCAGAGTTTCAGCGGACAAGTAACACCGACCCTTTAATAATTCAAAATGAAAAAATAGACATAAAAGCAAAAGCCATTTTCAAATGTTTTTTTTATCTACAGTGATCAAAAATTTATATACTAGATAAGATTTTCCAAAATTAAGTTTTTTTAAGGATTGTAAAAAATGTTCATAGAATTAAACCATTGATAAGTAGTATTCATTAAGGTTTCTTTTAAAAATATCTAAAAATCAAAGAAAACATGGTTTTGGGGTTTTGAAATAATCTTTTTGCCTCTGACCTGATCAAGAAACCCCTTCTCCATGGCGAGCAGGATGAAGACGTTGGTTGCCTTCTTGTGATCCGTAAGGGGGGCCTCCACACACGAGGAGAAGTATTTGAGATTTATAGTTCCCGCCCCCCTCTCATCCCCTCCACCACCCTCGCCCTGGTAGAAGTAAAGACGACTTTTCCACAGGACGAAGAGTTTTCGTTTCCATTGACTTTTGTGGAGAATTGAACGACCGGAGAGTTTCCAGAGGTATCCTCGTTTAGCCGTGCTTGGGAGAGAAGAGAGGGTGGGGACGTTCTGAAACAATTTTTTTTAATTGAATATTTTTTTCATTTTTTTTGTACTGTGGAGTGTGGGTTTCCATAACATGACACTTTGAAGACGACAAAGAATGTTACCTATGAAAAGCTGTAGTTTTATATACAGTGAGAACATATAAATAGTAAATAGAAAGACGACATAAATCTGATTTAAATTCTAAATTGTCCTAAAGCAAACAATTTTAACAGTAAATTGCAAATTAACTTATTAGGTGAAATGGATCTGATACAATTTGCACAATTGCTGTGTTTCTTTTATTTTAAATCAACACTTCAGTGAGTCGTCTTCCTATTCCATTGTTTTATGGGTCTCACTGTACCACACTGCATAATCTATATTAAAATATTTGAATCCTCATTTTTGATAAAATACACTATATCAAAACTAATTTATATAATTCAATTTTAATCTTTTAATGGATATTTAATTTTGAAAATAAAATATGTTTGAAGATAAAGGATAAATAGTTTTGTTTAATGATATAATATATAATACATTAAAATATTGAATATAAGAAAAACTTACATTTAATAAAAATAAGTACAGTGAGACATATAAATCTGTGGAACAGGAAACGACTTTAATAAAAAATTATTTCAAATAGTTCAATGAACATAAAACACAGCAACTGTACGCAGACTCATTTCACTTCATACGTGGATTTTGTTTTAAAACAATATAAAATCAATTTTGGTTAAAGTCGTCTTTCTATTCCAAAGTTTTATGGAACTCAGTTTATGAATATACAGAGTTTATGACTCATTGACAGACCCTGTATATTCTACAGGTAAATCAAACTCATGCATAACAAGGACTGGAGGATTTACTCAATTTTTCCTGAAAATGTCGTCTTTTAAATTGATTCAAACATTTCGACTGGAGGATTTACTCAATTTTTCCTGAAAATGTCGTCTTTTAAATTGATTCAAACATTTCGACTGGAGGATTTACACAATCATTGCATTGCATTGCATTGCATTGCATTGCATTGCATTGCATTGCATTGCATTGCATTTTATTGAGGGTCACTTGAAATTACACTTATAGTTAGACAAAAATATAAATAAAAAAACGTTGAAACAGTAAATGTAAGTATCAAATTAAAACTGAATTTTCTTTAAATTATTTCTTGAATTAGATTGTGAAGTTTCTTACCTCGTTTTTTGCTCTGAACGAACCCGAGACTTTCGACATTTTTTCCTCTGAAATATTTCCAATTTATCTTAAATCAATCTTAATCTTATTCTAAACTTTATTTATTTTATATCAATCTTAATCTTATTCCAAACTTTATTTATCTTAAAACCTATCTTAATCTTATTCTAAACTTTATTAAGCTTAAATCAATCTTAAACTTATTCAGAACTTTATTTATTTTAAATCAATCTTAATCTTATTCAGAACTTTATCTATCTTAAATCAATCTTAATCTTATTCAGAACTTTATTTATCTTTAATCAATCTCAATCTTATTCTGAACTTTATTTATCTTAAATCAATCTTAATTTTATTCAGAACTACATTTATCTTAAATCAATCTTAATCTTATTCAGAACTACATTCATCTTAAATAAATCTTAATATTATTCTCAACTTTAATTATCCTTAATCAATCTTAATCTTATTCAGAACTACATTCATCTTAAATCAATCTTAATCTTATTCTAAACTACATTTATCTTATAGGGACTGTGCCTCTCTATTTACAGAGAAGATTGCCCGATGAACAATGGTACCTTTTAAACATTTATCTGAGTAAATGGATATAAACGTTGTAAAATTCATGCAAAAAAAAAACCGGAGGGATACTTAATATTACATCTACACTTTCCTCATATAAACTTATTGTTTCTTTTATTTACCGCACAGAAATACAATGTAGATATTTCACTAATTTTAAACTATAATATTACTATATTATTTTTTATACTTATTTCAACAAATTCTATTCATATTCTTTCTCAATAACTTATCTGAAATCATATAAATCTTATTCTGGTTCTTACTTTTCTTTAATTTCTGAAAAAGGAATGGAGTCTTTGCCACAAACTCAATTTTTTGGCTTCCTATATCTGTGCAACCTAATGGTGTAAACCTTTGATATTTCAAACTTAGACCATTTAAAGTATCAGACTTCATAGTTTAAAATATCACGAAATTGGGTAGCAATGATAAAGGGATTAGAAAAATCAAAGTTTTCTTAGTTACCTTTACAAAATTGGGTTTGAACCTGTTAATATAATGGTTTTTTTTCCCACAACCTCAGATTGTTTAATCCCTATATATCTGTGCAACCCGATGTCGTTTAAATCTTCAGGTTGCAAACCAAAAAGGGATTAGAAAATCAGAGTTTGTGGCAACGACTCGATTCCTTTGATAGTTTGCTCTAAGATTAAGTAAATGTATCCGCAACTATTTTTTTTCGGCAAAACAAAGAAACATTTTAGAAAAGTTGTTTGGTGAAATAGACCGGATAACAAAAGTTTCAGAGCAGAATCTTACAAAATTCTATCAAATTAAAAACAGGAACTAGCGGGTATTGAGGATCTCTCCCCCTCCCCCTCCCCATTCCCTTTTAAGCTATTTTCTTATTTATCGATCTTAACCAATATCAACTAGAATTACATGATATAAAAGTAGAGATTGTAAACTGAGCCTGGTCTGGCTTTAATCAATAAATATGTACTTAACCAAAGTTTAACATTCAACTATTAAATCATGTTTCCTCATTGTTAAATCAGTCCAAGAAATCTTAAAATATTAATTTGAATTTCATGGTTAAACAGTATGCTTGAGGTCGGGATTGTTGTCAAAATTGTAGTTAATAGATTTTTGTTTGCCTCGTGTTGAATCTGTATCACTGTTCGGATCTTAAATAACTCCGAACCCTTTCTCCGGGTTATATCCGTCCTGCTCCGGTGTTAGGGTTCTACTAGAGCTCCGCTCCGGGTAGGGTCAGACTCAGCTGTTTTACATGTTTTGCACATATGTAATAGACACAGGGGCAGAGACAGGTACTTAGCATACAATGAAGAAACAAAAAGATGAATTAACTCGACAGTGATTCCCAAAATAAATCAGAAAGCAAAGACGACTGTTAAGTCAAAAGAAATTGTTAAATTATCAGGTACAGTCTTGAAATCAATGAGAATTGAAAAAAAAAGAATAAGACAATGAATCTATGTCTACATAAAACAAGACATTCGTATATATATATATATATATATGTTGTGAATAGCCGGCCAAACGGCTTTACCGATTGGGCTGAATTTTTTTTGTGGACTGCACTCATGGGTAGTCGGGGGTGTTATATAGGCTAAAAAAAATCGAAAATTTCAATTCTCACAATTTTTTTATTTAAAAAAATTCCTCGGGCAACGCCGGGCCCTCATAGCCGGCCAAACGGCTTGACTGATCGGGCTGAATTTTTTTGTGGACACTCAACTTACAATTGATCCTTTTTTCTTTTCCCTTGCAAAAAATGAGTTTAGTGCAGAACTTCAAGTTCCAAAATAATTTTTTTTTATACGGTAGAGGGGAGGGTTTGCAATTAAATAAGCTGAAAATGTGAAGCCTCAAAATTTTTATAAAAATGTCAAGTCATTTATATATAGATAAAGGACTGCCCGTAACGGATAATATTTCAGAGACGACTGTACAACATTTAAACCTTATGTGGGTAACCCTGTACTTGTAATCCCTGATGAAATGTTCTGGTCTGGTTGAAATATGCAAGATTAAGACTGTCAATCTTTAACTTTAGGTAGGGTAAACTACACCAGCAAGATAAATTGTATATTTTACCCGTTTTCCGGAAATGAAATTAGTTCCGGAAGAATTAACTTTAATTTAAAAGAGGAGGCATAGTTAGTAGAATATGTGGAGGTTAAGTGTGTGGGGGGGGGGAAGCTGGCGGTAGAAAACATGTGTGGGGGGGGGGAGTTATAGGAGAAAAGGAAAAATGAAGATTAGAAGGATAAGAGAAAAGAGGAAAAGAGAATTGAGAATATAAGGAAAAGATCAAGAAAGGAAAAAATGGAGAGTGAAAGGAACAGAAAAGAAAGGAAAATAAAGGGAAAAAATGTGATTTGAGTTCGCTAGCCCATTTAAAAAATAATAACATAAATGTTTAATAAACCATTATGAAAACAAGATCAGTGAATCCATGAAACTAAATCCTAAGTTGGTTTAGTTACACAACTTGATTTTATTGCTCAGCCTAACTCCAGACTAAGATTACAGTAGAGAGAGAATGAGGTTAGGTCCAGGAACTCCAGGCTTGGATCTGATTCAGAGAATAATCTCGGAGAGTGGTATCATGCCTCCATGCATGTTCACTGTCCAAACAGTCTCAAGGAATTCAGCAATTCATTCATCAATGCAGTAGTTCCGCCATTTTGGTTAGTAGGGTGATGTATTTGTACTTTCAGGTTACTGTTCACTTTATGTCAAGATCTAAATATTTGAGCCATGTCGATGTGGTGGGTGACAATTCAAAAAAAGTCGCGTCTCAAATCCCCGAAAAACCGGTTTCAATAGAGCGCCGGCTTAAATCTTGAAAACTTTAATACAAATTTAAGTGGAGCCACTAAAATTTGAGCCGTGGCGTAAATTTAAACCGCGGCTCAAATTCTTTAAATTGGGCCTCGGTACTATTAGTTTTTAATAAATCAATATTGGTTTTGTAGGTCGTCTAACTTCGAAAATAAATTGTCGCGAAAATCTAAAATTGACAATTGAATTTTTAACTTTTTCCCCGTGAGGAAAAAGGGTTTAATCAAGGGGGATGATTGTTCTCAACCTGTGTACTCAGTTAGCTGTACTGTACTCTTACAACTGTTTACTAATATTGATTTACTATAGGTTAGGCCAGAATCAACTTATAATAAACAAATATGCAGTACGCTCTCGGTATAGTTTATGGCCTATAAAATTAGTAAAGGATTAGCGTACATCATCACTCTATACGCTATAACCTCGTTGGGTTTAACTATTTTTAACTATTTTTAACTATTTTTAACTTTTTAAAAGTTTCCAGGTCAGAGAAACTACATTATTTTGATTTCGACTTGACAACCCACTTAAAAACTAAACAATTCAGCAACCACTATGGAAACATTTCTTTAATTGTCCACTGTACATAGCTTTAAGTTTTAGTTCAGATATAAAACACTGAACATTACAATGTTCAAATATGTAAACGTACTTTGAACAATGTGCATAATCTCAAAAATGCATGCATTAAGTAAAAACGTGAAAACAAATAAAAAGTTTAATGTTCAAAGATTTCCCCTCTACCTTCCAATTGTTCCCATCTTACCATATTAACCCATCCTAACATAATCAAACCAAAACTTAACCTGCAGTCCATCTGAACCCAACCAAAACTAAAACATCAAAACCAACCCAAAGTAACCCATACTAACTAACCCAAACTAACCCACTTTAACCCATCCTAACCAACCCAAACTAAAGCATCCTAACTAACCATCCTAACCAACCCAAAAAACCCCATTCTAACCAACCCAAACTAACCATCCTAACCAACCCAAACTAACCCCATTCTAACCAACTCAAACTAACCCATCCTAACCAACCCAAACTGTCTATCACTGTCTGTCACAGCCAACCCATCTAAACTAAACCATTTCAGAAATTACCCAACATAAGATCAATTGTTATCTGTTATAAGTAATTATTATTAAATTTAATTGATATGTAATAAATTAAGATATTTTAAAAGAATCTAAATTGGAATTTTTTATTGAATGAAAATATAAGTTTGGACCTTCTTAAAGAATTACAGTGTTTGCAAATGAACAAATGAACCTGAAACTTTAGCCTCAACATCTAATTTCATATGCCTATATCTTTGCAACTGGATGGTGTAAAACATTGATATATTAAAAGTAAGACTATTACATAATTATATTTTGCAGAATTCAAAGGTTTTAATGTCTAACCTAATTACATCAGTTTTTTTGCAATTTGAGGACAGACCCCTTCTAGAATCCATTTTCAACTTAACTTTTTTTGATTTAAGAAGGCTAAAGGGGGCAGTTCACCCCCATTCCCCTTTCATAAGTTGCGCCCCCGGAACTATCCAAAACGAATCAGACATTTCTTTTCCTCAGAAATAAATCCCATGTGGCGGCTCTTTGCATACGTGTTCACAATGTTGCGTCAGATTTGATAATTATTGATTAAAACATTCGGTTATTCCAGCTAATTAACATTATTTTA